TGTCTTTGTACAAGATTTCTGCCTTTTCACATTTGTTGAAAATCTTTTTCTTTTTCTTTCTCTCCGCTTCTCTTATCATTTCCTTTCTCTCCAATGTTCCTCACATCTCTACAGTCCATTTTATCCGATCTGTTTTCTTGTACTCAGATTTATTTTGTAGTCTTAAGGGTTAACTTGTTTTTTCCAATTCTTGTGAATTTTTTCCTACTAGGTTTAAATCATAGCTGTCATAGTCTTCATCTGCCACTAGGTGTCAGCAACTATTTGTTTTTCAATTTCCAAAATGAACAATTATCTCTGAAATGAGAGTCTTAACCATTAAAACAATTTTAGATTTATCCAGATTTAAATTTTAAGTTTCAGGTTTTATATTTATTTCACTTCCATATATTTTGATTCTCCATAAAAAGATCAATTTGCCGCTTCTGTTAGTATAAGGGTGGGGCGGAAATCCCCCTCCTTCCCTTTTGGAGGTATTTTGCTTCTTGGGGATCTTTTCCAGGAAATTAAATGTAAAATAGAAAAGAGAAGATCAAATTCCTCACCCAGTTTCAAGCACACTATTCACAGTTGTGCTGGTTAGTGCTTTTGGACTTTGGTTGCAAGTAGCTTGGGCTGGTCGATGCAATATGGCCAGCCTTTCTCCTGTCGGGTTAGAAGGCTTTTCCCAAGTCGAACGGAGCAGCCACTGCCATTCCAGAATCACTTCTTTCTTCGTTGCCTCTCCGGGTCGACTTAGACCCATTTAGGGTCCCCTGGCAGGGCGAAATTAGTCACGGGGGTGCGGAGAATCCGCAAGCAAAACTGGAAGTCTAGAAATTCTCAAATATTGTTGGACTTGGCTTGGTCTAGGATGGTCACAATTTCCCAGTTGAAGCTATGGTTAAGTCTATCCATATGTTGTGAAATTAAAGAGTTTGCACTGTGTCTTCTGACTGCTAGCTGGTGTTCATGGATGCATTTTACCAGTCTTCTATTTGTCCTACATAGTAGCTATTGCAGTCATTACACTATATGCTGTAGATGACTCCTTTTTTTCTTCTGGGGCTGCTGGTCTTTTGGTTTGCTTAGGATGTTTCGGAGGGCTTTAATTGGCTTGTGAGCTACACTGATTCCATGGGGTTGTATAGTAATATGTTGGCAGTTACTGAGATGGTTTTGATGTATGGCAGTGTTATTCTTTTTACTTGCGTTAGTTGTGCTATATTGGGCTGAGTAGCCAGCCAACTTGATGAAGTTGTGTGGCTATCCATTGTATTGCAAGATGTTGTATAGGTGCTGTGTTTCCTTTTTCTGTTGTTCAGGGTTGCTGCAGTGTTTTTGTGCTCATCTAAATAAAGTGCTTACAAGCTTCTCTTGTGAGAGCTTGGGTTATTGCTTTGGTAGTAAAGCACTTGATTGCCGTCAGTCTTTTTCCATACACCTCTGTTTCTAGTTTGCTATCATGGTCTCTGCTGATCAGGATATCCAGGAAGGGTCATGTACTGTTGACTTCTTCTTCTCTAATACACTGGATTCCTTTGAAGATGTTGATGGTTTTGTGGGTGTTCTCTAATTGGTCCATTTTTATTATGGTATCTCTACATATCAGATCCATATTTTGGGTCATATTTGTGGAAGTGATATCACTTCCAGATGTTACATTATGACCTTCATTATAAGTTCTGAAAGAAGTGATCCCATAGGTGCATTTTAACTTGTTGATAAATTTGTCCATCAAATTCAAAGTATGTAATTAGGCAGAGGTTTATGAGGTCCATGATTCTGGGTATTTCAATCGTCAGATATTTAGTTAAGTTGGGTGTCCTGCCTACCTAGCAGTTTGAAAGCATGCAAATGAAAGTAGATTAATAGATACAAATCTGCTGGGAAAGTAACAGTGTTCCAGGCACCTCGGCGTATAGTCATGCTGGCCATATGACTATGGAAAATGTCTTTGGACAATGCTGACTCCCTCAGCTAAGAAATGGAGATAAGCACCATGCCTAGGGTCGGACACAACTGGACAGGTTAATCTTAACCTTTTTGCTGTGGAGCAATGTAGTCATAAATTGTTTGGCTAATTCTGGGTCTATGAAGGTGAAAAGGACTGTGACATCAAACGAGACCTTGATTTTGTCCTCATCTCTGATTGTTTGAAGGCACTGTAGTGAGGAGCTGATAGAACGTTTATTTTCCCTTGTGAGGTGCCCAAGTTCACAAGATGCCTTTATGCAGAATTCCTCCCCCCACGAAAAAATTGAACTTTCATCAATATACAAAAGTCTATCATTGGTGTCAGCAGCCAAATGTAAATGTGTGAAGTCTCTTTTATTGATATTTTACCTCATTCTCTTTTTTTACTTGCAACTGATGCCCATCCCCCACATGGTGTCCTCGTGAAACCCAAAATTTATATAGCAGGTTCTGACAATCCTGCCTCAGGATTTAATCCAATCTTTTTGGATTAAAGCTTCATTTAAAAAAAATGGCATTTGATTATCATGGTTATTATTACGAGAAGAAACAAGGAGATATGAGACTACCCTACAAACTCAAAATTGCATGTACCAGTAAAATTAACTAGTTTATGTGTGATAAGCTAAACACTTCCATGCTGAGTTATCCATAGTGAAAATCAATGTTTATTAGATTTATATTTAAGCAGCATAATAATTTATATCTGCTTCTAAGATTCAGCTCAACTGAATTTAAGGGGTCTGATTTCAGAGAAAATATGTTAATTATCTAGCCTTCCAATTCATATTAATTATATGTGCCTTCAGGTGTGTGTGTGTGTGTGTGTGTGGGGGTGTGTGGGTGTGTGTGTGTATACCCACTTCATAAATGCAGTATGCACTTTGCTATTTCACAATGAACAAGAGATGGCTCCTGGCATCATCTGGTCATAATCAACACAAATCAAACATGTGGAAGCATTTAACGACCAGGGAGGGTCATAGCTGGCCTTCAAAACCCAGGATTGCACCACTAAATAACAGTTCTGCAATTTCTTGCCAATTTTCAGTAGGAAGCTAAAGGAAACACATATGTTAAGCCCCAATAGACTTAATGGAACTATGAAACTTAAAAGATCCCTATCTTTAAAAAAAATCAAACAAGATAAAATTCTCCAGTTCCTTTCGCAGTACACAATTACATTATCATCACTCACTGCTGAATATTTTTGTGGCCAAATTTTGCTAATACTTGTTTTACATGTATTCACAAAATCTCTGAATAATTAGTACAGTGACAATATACAAACCAGTAATGAAAGACAGCAATTGCAACAATTCAACCAGAAGAAAGGAAAAGAGAACTAAATTAACCTCTTCCAGCCATGGTAATATAATTTCTTCAAAATCTTTCACAACTAAAATAAAATAATGACCAACATATACAATGTTCAATTGTTTGTGTGACTACGTAGTCAAGAATTGCTGTACAAAGAATTTTCTGGGGGAAAAAATAACTGAAGTAATTTAACAAAATACGAACTATTTCATCTACAGTACCTCCATCTAATGGCTTTATTTTGCTTCATTTTAGAATTATATATCAATTGTTACTACTTAGTTTGAATAAACAATTAAAAATTGTTTGTTGTTGTAATTTTAATTATCATCTTCTAAATTATATAAATTTTCCTCTGAAAATAAAAAAAAAGAATGGCTAAGCACAATCATATAAAACCATTGTTTCACTCTATAAATTACTTCTTGAAAAATAATAACAGTATCTTTATTACAGTGATTAACCAGTATTTTAAATAATTTTTATTAAGAGGTTATAAAATTAAATACATAAACATTTTTTGGGTGAAATTAGTAGAAATGTTCAGACTAGTAAACACTATAAATTCAAAAGATAAAAAATACTAGAACAATCTTAAAAGTAATTGGCAAAATAGTAAACTATTTTATGAATAAGTTATTGAAATATAAATCTATTACTGGTTGTGTCTGTCTATGTGCATGTGAGTATATATACATAAATATAAATATGAGAGTCAGTTTGGCCTAGTAATTAAGGCATCAGACAAGAAACCAGAAAACTCAAGAGTTCTAATCCCAATTTGGGCATGAAAGCCAACTGAATGACTCTGGGCCATAACGTCAAGCTTGGGTGACAAGTCAGTCAGTCAATTCCTGTTGCAATAATGGATCAATACTAGATCTGGGAAAAAAAGCAGACCCTATACTTGTGGAAAAAAACTAGTTTTATATATATTTATCTATATATGTGTGTGTGTATGTGTGTGTGTGTGTGTGTGTGTGTGTATATATATATATATATATATATATATATATATATATATATATTAAAAATAACACTAAAAATAGATGAGTTTAATGTTTTATTAAAACTTTTAATGATTTTAAATTTCCCTGGTGTTCACTTTTTGTTATTTATATATATACACATACATACAGTTGCAAGAAAAAGTATGTGAACCCCTTGGGATAACGCGGAGTTTTGCATGAATTGGTCATAAAATGTGCTCTGAACGTCATCTAAGTCACAACAATAGAAAAACACAGTCTGCTGAAAATAATAATACACAAACATTACATGTTGCCATAGTTTAATTGAACATAACATGTAAACATTCACAGTGCAGGGAGAAAAAAGTATGTGAACCATTGGACTTAATAACTGGTTGACCCTCCTTTGGCAGCAATAACCTCAACCAAACGTTTCCTGTAGTTGCAGATCAGACCTGCACAACGATCTGGAGTAATTTTGGACCACTCCTCTTCACAAAACTGTTTCAGTGTAGCAATATTCTTGGGATGTCTGGTGTGAATCGCTCTCTTAAGGTCATGCCACNATGATGCTCCCTCCGCCATGTTTTACAGTGGGGATGAGGTTTTGATGTTGGTGTGCTGTGCCTTTTTTTCTCCACACATAGTGTTGTGTGTTTTTCCCAAACAACTCAATTTTGGTTTCATCTGTCCACAGTATATTTTGCCAGTAGTGCTGTGGAACATCCAGGTGCTCTTTTGCAAACTTCAAACGTGCTGCAATATGTTTTTTGGACAGCAATGGCTTCCTCCGTGATGTCCTCCCATGTACTCCATTCTTGTTTAATGTTTTCCTTATTGTAGATGTGTCAACAAAAATGTTAGCATGTGCCAGAGATTTCTGTAGGTCTTTAGCTGACACTCTAGGATTCTTCTTTACATCAAGAAGCATTCTGCACTGTGCTCTTGCAGTCATTTTTACAGGACGACCACGCCTAGGGAGAGTAGCAACAGTGCTAAACGTTCTCCATTTGTAGACAGTCTGTCTTACCATGGACACATGAACATCAAGGCTTTTGGAGATACTTTTGTAACCTTTTCCAGCTTCATGCAAGTCGACAATTCTTGATCGCAGGTCTTCTGAGAGCTCTTTTCTGCAAGGCAGGAGAGGAGATCAAACAGGCCAGCCGGGAGCTGATCTACAACTTCTGTGGCAGCCATCCATGCCAGGCGTGCACACAGGTGGCAGCAACAAACAGGCAAGAAACGCAGCAGAGGAGGGGTCGCCCTCCATGAGGAATAAAGAAAGGCAGCATCAGCTGGAAGTGAGGCACGGAGGAAGGAAGGAAGAAGATGCCAATGAGAAAGAGGGAGGTAGAGAGCAGGAGGGATGGAGGGAGGAAGGAAGTGTTGGAAGGAAAAGCCGGAGGCTTACGTTCCAGCTGGGAGGCTATATCTTTAAGAGAAAAAAAAAAAAGTGAAGCACCACCGTTTGAAATAGACGAGAGGAAGCCTCCGGCTGCTGTGGCTATTCTAGAGGAGATGTTTATTGGCAGAAGTGGAGTGCCATTTCAGCAGTTCACTTCTGGATCAGCTGAACAACAAACCGGGAGAGTGGAAGGATTCTTGTGTGATTTTGTGACTTTGAAGTTCTAGGATTTGTGCAATGTGGGCTTTGTGTTCTTAAGGAGTGTTTGGCAATTTCTATTGTGGCTAATAGCTGATATTCCATGTTGGATTTTGGGGTGTGGGGTTATTGGTTCTAATTTTATTGCTCTGCTATTGTTAGCTATAAGTTTTGCTGCAAGGGATTTTGAAGTATTTTTGTCCTGGATGGACTTTGCCTGTAGCATTCATTTACTTATGAATGGAGCCATTGGGGGAGGCTGCCTTAGCTGGCAGCCAGTAGTTGCTACATTTGTTGTTGTTTTTTTCTTAAGTGCCAGCTGCCGGCTCCTTAACTTTCCTTTCTAGCCAGTAGCTAATTCTTAAAGGGGAATGCCCCCTTTTAAGCTGGATCCCTCATCTTGTCTTTTCTGTCTCTGGAGGCTTTTCCTTGTTTGATAAATATATGGAAGAGGGAAAATATGGGGGGGGGGGTTTTCAAACTCTTCCTTCAGAAGGAAGGAGATGGGAATGAGAAAGAGGGAGGCAGGGAAGGAGGGAAACAGGAAAAGAGGAGGGAAGGAGATTGGAATGAAAGGGAAGGAAGGTCTGAAGGAAGTCCTGCCTTAGCACTTGGCCACCAGCAGTCCTGCCATTGACTTTGCTTGTCAAAAGGTTGCAAAAGGGGATCACATGACCCTGGGACACTATGACCATCATAAATATGAATCAGTTGCCAAGCATCCAAATATAAAATCACATGACCCTGGTGATGCTGCAATGGTCATAAGTGTGAAAAATGGTCATAAGTCATAATTGTTGTAAGTCAAGGACTACCTGTACTTTATCACTTTTTTCCTTTTTTTTTTTTTGGGTCAAGTTTTTGACACCTTGCTAGATGGTACTCGAATATTGCCATATCCTAAAAGTGGTACTGTCATGGTTCCGACTAATAAAACACTTCAAAGAACACTGTTAATATAGGATATTATTGCTTTGACAGGTACAACCGGTGAAAAGCCCTGTCTTAGAGGACAAGACATTAAGTAAAAAACCTCTACAGAAGGTAATATAGAAGACGTAATTTGCTGGTGTTTCCTTGGTTTCCTTTTTATAGCCTGCTAGAATTGGCTGTACAATTCATCCTGCTGCACCTGGAGACTGAGCATTCATTCATTCATTCATTCATTCATTCATTCATTCATTCATTCATTCATTCATTCAAAAATGAATATATAACTATAGGAAGCATACATGCAAAAACAGTGTGTGACATTGTGAGACAGTGAAATTGGGGATGCTGTCTGCATTTTGGAAAAGCAGCTACAATCAGAAATGCTTCTTACACCCTATTTCTGTCAGGCATTCATAGATTCCCTCACAACTTTAATCACAAACATCCAATCTGGTGTTCCAGCTGCCTGTGATAATTGTGTCTAGTCTTTAGAAAGCAAAGACTCCTCAAATACATATACTATGTCAAATGTCCACTGCTGCATTGCAGCTTTAGCTCTTGATAACCCCATGGCTATTTTCATTTTCTTTCTAAGGTGATGCATTCTCTCTAGCCATGACATCCAACTCCATAAAAATGACACCAGTAACAGCTTTCAATCTGATTTTTCTGAGGAGTTTATGGTAAATATTCACCACCTGAAATCTTCCAATTACTTCACTTCCATTGCTTTGGATTATCACTGGATACATAACAAACTGGGACTTACCATTTTTTTCTGTTCTCCAACAGTTCTTAAAAGCCCTTAAAGTTTATGTCCTATCACCAACAAGGACATCTCACCAGCCCCAAAGTCCACAAAAAGTGCATATACTGCTCATTTGACAAAATATTCAACTCCTACCAAGTAGAATCCTCTTCAACAGAACTGGAGCCCAAATTTTGCAATCAATCTTTGGACTTACTGATTGATGGACAAAGAGAAACTCTCCTGATATGTTAGAACATTGCTAGTTGAGAGGCCAGATAAGACGATTCCTACTTTTGGGACTTAATTCATAAATATGTATTTATCTTGTTACAGAAGAACACATGGCATTAGTTTCTAGACTGAATTTATCCAAATGCAACAATGAATTATAAATGTCTTTTTTCCTTTATAGGTTGCTTTCTTTAGCAAATACCAGTTCATATTACTGGAAAAATATCTTTCTCAACCCACTTGGGAACCTGGGTCATATACTAACAGATAATTTTGATACCAGACTTGGCAATAATAGTAAGGCTCTCTTATTTTAATAACCATATTTTTCCCCACAGGAGCCATCCTAGAGGTCAGCTGCACCACTCTAAGGATCAGGGTATCACACAGCAGGCTGATATCTATTATGTATTGCCAAAGGACTTAGGCATTGTTTACTAATGCAATAGCAGATGGTGACCTTAATGGTGAGCTTACCTACTGGTGGGACCCAAGGATTCAGTAAAATCAATTATGTCCTAACCTCACACAACCTTTCCCATCTAGTATTTTCATTTAAAGTTGAACTATGGCCAGATAGTGACCACTCATGCTATTATTTCACCTGGATCTTAGTTCTCACCTGATTTTCCTTACCAATTTCACCCAGGTCATGAATAATGATGCAGATATAGTCACTTCTAGAATTAAATAATCTGCAAGAGTAACCCAATCATTTTTCTTTTGCTTCAGTACAGTCTTCAAATTACACAGGGTCTTCATTGACAGCAGTTCAACATCTCTAGAGGCTTATGCTAGATACAATGCTATATAAAAATCACAGGGTATACCAATGATCTATGAGCAAACCCTAGAATCTTAGGAGAAATGCAAAGACTGCAAGCAAGAGTAGATTTAATGATAGCTTTCCAAGCCAACAGCCATCACAGCATTGAGAATTGACTATTAATTATTAAAAGATTTAAAAATGGAATAAAAAAGAAAAGAAAAACATTGATACATACCATTTAGGAATGACCTTTCCAAGCTATGAGGAATAATTATGCCACTTTTCTGAGAAGATATCTCAACTCCTCAAAGACAGTCTGACCAGAATTAAAGATTCCACCCAAGAAGCGGATAGCTTTTCTGTAAGCAAGATAGCTTTCATTTGCTCTTTGTCTCAAGCTATCCCTCCAAACAGCATTCTCTCTGGCCATCAGTCTCTCATTTGAAAATTGTTAATCAATCCATTAAAAAACAGGAAAGTTGCCAGTAGTGAAATGATATACTGTCAAACTGCTAAAAAGCAACATCAGTTGGAGGTCTTCCCTTCTGGCCTCCCTGTTTCTATATATTAATAACACATGCCAAATATGAAAGAATGACTCCGGAGGAAGTTGTTTTACTCATTCTTACATCGGAGTGTACTCTGTTTAATTAAGATGTTGTATAATAAAGTAGTCACACAAGGTAGATGTGCAGATATCTCAATTACAAATTAACAGCTATTTAGCTCAATGGTCATTGTTTGAATCAAAGCAGAATCTCATTTCTCCAAAGTTGACAATTTTATGCTTGATTATTTCTTTAACTCATACTGCCTTTACAAATGATCTATGGGCTATGGGCTCTAGCACATTACTGTAGGGGGAAAGGGGGCTTACAATACACTAGTCTAAATCATGTGGGGGGTTTTCTCCAAAAATATTTGATGCCATAAACAATAATAATACATACAAAGGTTCATCCTAGAAATAAATAGAATGATTTAACATCACACCTTTGTGGCCTCAGTATAGAAAACAAGGAAGATGTGATAAAACGTTGTACTTCACTATGATGGAATATTAAAAATACTGCACAAACTTTTTCCCCGTTTTGTTTGATATTACTAAAAAAGCCTAACCAATTTCATCATTTTTGTGAATATTTTTATTTTAGAAACTTTGAATAAAAAGCTTTGCCAACCAAAAAAAAGGAAACCATTCAAAGAATATTATTTTCTTTAACAATCAATTTAAATTCACAATTGTTATGGTGTTATTTGGGGCCAGAATCAAAACAGAACATTGGCAAACTCAGACCTGTCTACTATTCGTTTCTCCTTGGTAAAAGCAATGTATTAATCATCCTGTTTTAAAGGCACTTGACTAAAGCTATTCTTTATATTGCACATTGTCACTAATGTAGCCAATGAATAACTCTCAACACTTTTGTTGTTGTTTCTCTGAGTGGACTAACAACAGCTTAGTTTTACTCTTTTTCTGTTGAATGGCTTGGAGAAGATGATGAAAAGGAGCACTTCAGTAAAACAAAAGTTTTGGGAAGAAAAAGTTAGAACAAAGTAGACATAGTGCAGACAACTTGTGATTCATGACTCATACTGTGCTGTTTCCCTTTTCACCCCAATGTGCTCTTTGATTTTACTACTGATTATGAAGCCAGACCACTG